AAGTCATACACATCATACACACTACTGTTAACACCTTACACCACACAATCACACACAGCAGATATATGCTGCAAAAAATAGTATCTTGCCAAGTAAAATGATCTTAAATCTAGTCAATATACCCAATATTTATTTTAGGTAATTTACTTAAATTACTTACAACAGGTAGAAATTTCTAGAAATAAGCTAAATAATCTTATATTAAGTGCACAACCATCCCAAAATAAGAAATATTAGATATTTTGACTATAATTAAGATAATTTCACTTGACAAGATATTATTTTTTTTGTGTAGATATAGACACACAACAATGATGAAAATAGAAACTGCTGCAAAACATGACACTCTTTATCCAAATACAATACAGAAAAATAGCAATTTTACATTTTACTTTACAAAGTTTGATCTTACATACATTTGAATTACTCAAAAAAGCACCATTTTATCAAATACTGTTTACTGTAGTGCGTACAATGTGCAATATTGTAAAAAAAAACAAAAAAAAACCGGAAAAACATGCAACGATACAATGAAGTGTACACAAAAAAACTCAAAGCAACTGAAAGCATGTACACAGTGGAGGCTTTTACTTCATCAGAAATATTTCTTTGTCTTGACCTCTGCCTCTTCCCCTCTCTGCTCTTCTGCTCCTGTTTCAGTGTTTGTTTCAGAGATGTAGTTAAATTCATTAGCATGCTGAGGTTTAATCGGTGACTCCCAGTGTGCAAATTACCCCCTGGTATTCAGGGGGTCCCATGTTGGCTGGCTACTCTAGCGCTGACTGGCTGTTAACTCACCAGTACTAGCTTCAATGGCAGCAAGATGTTTAGTTTAACAATTCTTCTTCTGGAAATGCTCATTTCTAGTTTGGTAATGCTTAACTGGGATGTGTAATTAATACATTAATTGCACATCTCTTTTATATTTGGTTTGAGAAATGAGTAACAGTTCACTCTTTCCATCAGTCTTTTGGGAAATTGGGCAAGTTTTCAGATTTACAAATATGCTCTGGCATAAAGTTTTTCAGCAGTATCACAGGCAGAGTTACTTTTACTAGGCTATGAAGGACCAACGAGATAAACCAATTTGCAACAGTGCCACCCTGAGTCAGACCAGTACTGCAGCTCTAGTTAGGTAAGAATACCAAAGACAGAAGGTTGCCAATTCATGGGTGAAGCAGCTAAACAATGACACAATGACCTTTCCCTGTATTTGTATTTGAGCGTATGTTACTCCGTAACGGACATCATAACATTACAGTAAATGTATTTTCAGGGACCACCCAGAATTTTGATTTTGAGACATCTATGGGGTCCAAGAGGATAATTAGGGAGGTCCTGAACCCCTCAGGAACCCCCTGTATTTCACACCTCGTTGACTCCAGTGTTCATGAAAATAAGACTAATGAGAGGCTAATTCCTAATGAGAGGCTAATTCCTAATGAGAGACTAATTCCCAATTCCCAGTGAGAACTGTGGCAGTGCACTGAGAAGTGTGTGTAGAGTTTTGCAAAAAAATTGCAGCAGGGGCCAGCTTTCTGAAAGCTAAGGAACTTAGTAAAAAAAGGCTTAGAAGGATCTTACGACAGACACTAAGAAGTTTATACGAATTCATTCACTGAAACACATCAATGGTATTACAATAACCTAATAAGGGGGGAAATTTGAATATTTGTGTTTAAGCTTAAGCTGTGTCTGACTTCGGTTGGAATTTTTCATCTTGCTGTATAAGCAGCCTTTTATAGCTAATATTTAGTGTTCCAGGTGAGAATACAGCCACCAGCACTAGTACATGACCATTAAGTGCACCCAAATGTGAACTGTATTTTGATTTGTTGATTGCACATATTATTATTATTATTATTATTATTATTCATAGTAGTAGTATTATAGTAGCATCTTTAGCCATTAGAACTTGTTAAAGTGCTAATTCGACACATGATACACACAAAATAATTCAGACAAGTAACAAAGTATATTCTGTTCTTTTATTTAGCAAGAAGCTGTTGAAAGAGGAACAGGAATGATAGAGTAAATATCACTATTTAGAACATACTGTAAAACCCAGCAGCAAAGAAGGAAGAGTTGAAATTAGTCACCTGTCCAAATTCATTAGATATGAATACTGGCACCAGAAAGAGCTGTGCTGGATCTGACGAGTCTGTGTTTGAAGGAACGTACAATTAACTGTTGCACCTTTAAGCCCTCAAAAGAAAATATCTTAATAATACTGATAATAATAATACTGAAAGATAAGTAGAACAGAAACTTAGTTTCAGCACAAAAAAAGAACCCAGAGAGAAAAAAAAAAACACTTCCATCATCTCTCATTTTTTTGAGAACACCAGTCCACATTAGTAAATAAGTAAATGAATGCTTTCTCTATTGGAACAGATTTTACAAGTCTATCTACAGGAAAATGAAACTGCTGAATGAGCCTTTTAGAAAGCATTATTACATTCCATACATATGCAGCTGCAACCAGCAATGCAAAGTTCAACCTCACTCTGTCACTTTTTATTGCTCAGACATGTTTCTGCATAACCATAAAGCATGATCCTTGTACACCGTCAAAATTGATCTACCAAACTTAAAGCAGTGCTTTATATACGAGAACTGGACTGTGATCCAGGTTTAGGCAAAATGGAAAAAGGAGATCTTACCATTTAAGACAGACAGACAGATAAGTAAGCAGACAGAAAGCCAGACATAGATAGGAAGATAAATAAATAAATAAATAAATAAATAAATATGTTTTTGACTACATTTTAAAATAAACAAATACCAATCAGTTTGTGTCATTAAATGAATGTTTAAATGAACAGATCACGTGCAGAATGCTAAATGTGTGCCACTTCAGAGAGATGTGCCATTTCTTCTCACAGCCAAGACAGCACTGCATGCTCTGATTATATAAATACTTCCTTAAAAATAACTTATAAGTTAAATAAAACAAAAAGCAACGCTAAAAACTACACAGACACCATAAACTTATGGTATATCGTGCACAGGGGTACAATGTTTTGTCGTGAAAAATATTTTATGATTTCATCATTTTTAGAATTCCTGTGAAAACTATGCACTCCTGTGTTGATAAGTTTGTTGACTGCCACTGGAACATTTATCAAACACATGACTTCATAGTCCAGACATTTATAAAGAAATATAAAAAATATTTAAATTTGTTATAGAGGGTAAACAACTCTGGTAAACATGCAGTATTTGAAGCACTTGTAGGTGTTTTGGTCCACATTAAGCCACTGAAGTAAAATCTAATCACAAAATTAAAATAACAATAGTTAAACGTATAAAATTATATGCAAGCAGAGCAACAGCCAAATCCATCAACCTCTCATTTACAAAGGTAAAAACACAACCAGCCATGAGATAAAATGAAACAATCAGATCAAAGAAATAAACAAATACTTAAATAAACAAACACACATAAAAAGTGTGTGTGTATATATATATATATATATATATATATATATATATATATATATATATATATATATAAACAATTCATTAAGTACACCTCCTTGATCCTTGAATCAGACACAGCAGTGCTGCTGGTGCTGGAACGCCTCAGTGTCACTGCTGGACTGAGAATAGTCCACCAACCAAACAAATCCAGCCAATGGCATCGTGTGGGCAGCGTTCTGTGACAACACAAACTGTGCAGCAAAAGATAAACTACTGTCTCTGACTTTTCATCTACAGGGTGGACTAACAAGGTAGGAGTGTCTCATAAAGTGGACAGTGAGTGGACACAGCGTTTAAAAATTCCAGCAGCACTGTTGTGTCTGATCCATTCATACCAGTGCAACGCTAACACGCCACCACCACATCAGTGTTACTGCAGTGCTGAGAATGACCCACCACCGAAATAATAACTGCTCTGTCATGGTTTTGTGGGGGTCATGATCACTGAAGAACAGGGTAAAAGGTGGTTAACAAAGTCAGAGAAACAGATGGACTACAGTCTGTAATTTTAGAACTACAAAGTGCACCTATATAGTGAGTGGAGCTGATAAAGTGGACAATGAGTGTAGATACATGGAGGTGTACATAACGAAGACTTGACTTGGTGTGTGTGTGTAAATATATATCGCTGTTGTCGGAAGAAAAGTATCTCCATTTTTGACGTTTTTCAGTTTTTGACATAATTTAAAAATAACTGTTGCCCTTTACACTGTATGTAAATTTCATGTTGAATGGACTGAAAGAAATGACCCAAAATGTAAAATTTGTAAAAAATTCTGGTTCCATTGACTTACATTAAAAGTAAAGAAGGTTTTTCCTTCTCCTGTAAAGTTTATGATTTTGGAGATACAAGGATTTCTTCCGACAACAATATATATATGTATATACATACACACACACATATGTGTGCGTGTGTATCTATGTAAAGAACAGTGCTGTAAAAATCAACCAAGAGACGATAAAGCATTTTTTTTGTCAAAGAGGTTTACATGGCATGAGTTATAAAAATGCATTTAAGGCTAACTGTGCCCTTAATGTAAAAGCCTGATCTAAATCTCATTACTCATTTTGTTCAGTGGACTGGTTGAGGCTTGTTTGAAAGTCAAAGCTTTCACATTCTTAATTTAATGTAAAAGACTGAAATGAATAAATTAGATCTAATTAATAACTCAAATTAATCGCTTTTTGTAATTATAATTATTATTATTTATGTTTATGCAGGCCAATGTCTTACTGATCTTAATCTGAGAAAAGTAGTGGTTAAAACAAGCACCATTACAAAAAGGCAACATTTACAACAGATAGGTCAAATAATTAATCAAATAAACAGTCAAAAATAAATAAACTATATCATATAATTTACACTACAATATTCTAGTCTAGGTCACAGAAAGAGGTCAAAAGTCAGATTTCAGGAGAACCCAAAACACACTGGAAAAAGTTCATACAACAGCAGAATATACAAACACGCTAAACCAAACAGGGACAACCAATAAATTAAGAAATGAATAAATAAATGAATAAATAAATAAATAAATAGAGACATACAAGGCATATAATTTTATCCATAAATACATATTTACAAAGGCCAATGTCATTTCAAAAGCACTGCAGAAAAAGGTGTAGAAAAGAGAGGAAAGAGAAAGAGAGGCGTCCTGCAACGATCCATGGCTCGGCGGTCTGTTATCGATGAACTGCTTGCGTACGTGAATGAGTGGATGGAGTCCCTGGATGTTTTTTGGCTTTCTCTTTAGTCCTGATCAGTGGATCTTTAGCGCTACTACAGGAAATTACTGGTTGGAAGGGACCATATCTTTGATAACGGGTTCTCTGTTTAAATAGGTGGCCCAGTAGACAAGGTTAAAGGTTCCGAAGAGCACGGGGAACATGATGCGGGACATGCGGTCAATCTTGCTCACGCTGTTGAAGGATTTCTTGTTCTCGGCTGGTTTGCTCTCGGTTTTGGCCTTGCCTGGGTCCGCCACTCCACCCTTAGCGATGGTGGGCAGGACGGAGTCCTTGGTGATGTTGGGAGCGTAGTTAGCCACAGCCACTGCATAGGCATTGTTTTTCTTAATCACTGATGCTTTCTCTTTCTTCTGGAAAGGAAAAAAAAATAATCCACTTTGAGTGAAAATAAAGAAAAGAGGATGCTGAGTGGCAAAATACAATGTTGTGAAGAAGAGTCCCCATATGTTGTTTCTCTTAATAACTGGAATTTGGTAATGGTAATAGGTAGTGGATTGAATCTGAGCAAACAAATGCTGTGGGGCAAAGGTTGTCTAATAAACGTGACTGCTGTTGGAACACTTAGCAGATACAAGACTTAGTAGTCATCCAGTAAGTAATGGTATGCATTATTTGTAGCACTCAAATGTGTACACATTAAGTCAGTGAAGTAAAATCTAATCACACAATTAAAAAAACATTGGTTATAACTGTAAAATAAATTGCAATCAGCCAACGTGAGCATCCTCTCATTTATGAAGGTAAAAGCACAACCAACCATGAGACAAAATAAAACAAAACTCAATACCTTTTTCATGTCTGAATGAGCTAATTCCTTCTAAATCACTCATTTATGAAAAATAAAGAGCTGAGAGGGTTAATTGGATGGTAAAATACAATATAAAGGAGTCGTGAAGAAGAAAACACAGATAAAACGCATTTTAATGTTCACTGTTGACGGCTGAGATTGGTTGGTAATTGCTCGTGGTTTGTATTGGTGTAAACAAACGTTGCCGGACAATTGAAGTCCAACATTAGCTACAATGTTTCATGGCAAATATTCTGATGTCTTTGTTTGCTACTCAATCTACATCCTCCAGACACGCCAGCTAATCATGTTCTCTTTCACATCAGATCAAAGCATCTTCAAAAAAGGCCACTTCCCTTGCTCCTGCCAGCCACATCCTTCCATGTCACGCCTGCTGAATGCGCCAGTGGGAACAACTTAATAATAAGTGCAGAGTCTGAGGGAGAGGGTAATGTTGCAATCTAAATTCACAATGGTTGTTAAGAGAGAGCTAATTTGAGGTTCTGCTATGCTGTCAGGTCTCAGACCATTAAGAGTTTGTCAGCAATACACAGTTTATTATTGACTTTAATGTTATGAATCAAATCAGGTAAGTTGCGTTGTAAATGCATCTGATGGGGTACTGAGCAGTGTGTGATATGAAGCTTAATATTTGATCAGAGTCAATTGTGTGTACAGCTTAATCCAGGACTGACATAACTGTCTTCATGCCTGAAAACATAATGTCACCTTTATAACATTTTCTATAGAGTCTATAAATCCACATTATTAATGCAGATTATTTGTAAACAATATATAGATGTCATATAATATAAACATCAATATATAGATATATTATAAAAGGGTCATTTGAAGCCATTCCCTTATGCATCATTAACAGCAAGACTTCGCCATTGCTTTTTATATATGGGCAAGATTTAACAGTCTGTCACTTGCATGTGGCTTTCTGACATTTACTTAGCATCGTTCGATTATAGCACAAGACATGCTCATAAAAATGCAATGACTTCATTGTATAAAGGCCACATAAACTCCGAATAAGACTGACAGGAAAGACTCTTTATGAAGCTGATGTAAATTGATTACATTGGAAAAAAGGGCTCCTCGTAGGACTTCAGTTAGTCTTGATACTAAGAGAAGACAAGATCGACATCATGCCAGAAAATGTAATTTTTCAGAGCTGACTCTATTGGGTTGTACTATCAGTTGCATTATAGGTCTTTTAAAAGTGCAAACTGAATGAATATCCATTTATACTATGGTAAACTGTCACCAGACAGTATTTCAGTCTAAATGGTGCATCATGAGCAGTAATTTCTATGAGGAAATTGAGTTGGATCAGTGCACGGATCTTTCCAAACTCATTTGCTTTATGTAAACCGATTAGTGCAGATTGGTCCATAGACTAGAGTAGTAACTCTACAATCAGAGTTAATTATAGATGGCTTGACCTGATAAGTAAACTGACCCAAAGAAATTAATACAGGATAATATAAATGGAAAGGTTGAAATCACCAGAACTCCATGATAAAATCATAATTGATTAATCCATGATAACATCATAACAGCTCAAACTCTGGCAGAAGCATTCAATATGCTTCCACACAAAATGTAATAAGTGAAAAAAATATTACCACACTGATTTTTGGAATCTAAACATTCAAAATGAGAAACAGATGAGGTGCAAGAGGGTGTGTAGTGAATCATAACAATAAAAGTCCAGAAAACAAATAATATGTAAATGTGGAATTTGTCAGGCTGAAAAAAAGCAATGCAGTGAATTTACTTGATTGAACTGTGCACATCATTTCCATATGAATGGAATATATTACATCAACACAATTTTGTCTTTCAGTTTACTTAATTTTGGTAGCAATGTGCAATGTAATATGTCACTGTGTGATGTAAAATATCATACGGAACGGAAAGTTTGTAGTTTTCCAAGTGAAAATAAGCTCACATCCTCTACAGATAACTTCTGCACATTTTGATGCAAAATTACTGTTTATTTGCTTAACTTAGCATATCATAAAGAACATGAAATGTATTTGCCTTTATTAAGAGCACTTTCCACAGCTGGGGCCATCTGACCATCTTTTGTGCAGCTCAGAAGAAAGCAATTCACATGTTGTTCGTGTGAATGGTTGCTTCACAACTATTTAAATGAATTTATCAATTTTTGATATTTTGCTGTTAGATATAATTTATACCTGCTAGTTATTGAGTGATTGTTATTATGTTACTTAGGCTAATCTTTAATTTATCAGATTTCTCTACACGTATGTGTTGTCCAGCACCTGCCCACATGACATTAACCATCAGCGCCATGCTGCACGACTTTAAATATTTAGTTTTTTTAAGTTGTTTTTTCAGTGCAGCATAATGCTTAACATATGAATGGGTAATCTGGATTCAAGACTAATATTTTTTTGTGTTTACTTCTTTATGTAAACTTCTAATACTGGTGGAAATGTATGGCCTTCAGATGGAAGTACAGAAGAAAATGTAAGATTTTTTGACTTTTTAACTTAAAAAAATATAAAAAATCATGTATGTCAAGGACAGAAAAAAACTGCAGCTTTACAAATGCTTCTGTAGGTTGTTAAGGCTATTAATATTAAAAACCCTGACATTACCTGATAACCTGTCAGCTGGCATCACATCGCTCTAAAACATAATGAACTGTCTGGCATGCCAATCAATCAGATCAACAAATTACCCCTCTCATATAGGAGAAAGCCTCTGGGTAATTACTTGTCCTCATTACCTTGTCATTGACCACACTTTTGCCGTCCCAGGCCCAGCCACGCTTGGTGAAGTAGTTGACAGTAGCAAATTCAATGAGGGCAGAGAAGACAAAGGCGTAGCACACAGCAATGAACCAGTCCATAGCTGTAGCATAGGCCACTTTAGGCAAGGAGTTACGGGCACTGATACTCAGAGTGGTCATGGTCAGCACAGTGGTCACACCTGAAGAAGATAAAGACATGGACAGAGAGAGAGATTAAATGTAAGTACCAGATTACAACAGAGAAAACCAAGTAACCTGAAGAAGCTGACTAAATCAAAAATCCAGATTATTACAATAGAGACGACTGAGTAATGAAATAATTGTAATGTATGAATAAATGGGCGAATCACCATTATTCAAAAACAATGCCGGATTCTGCAATGCAAATTAGCAGTTCAGCAAACAACAGCAGCATTCTCTGAGACAAAAATGGAAAATATCCTCTGCCCCAGACCTATTGTTTCAGACTTCTAAGCGTCTATAAAAAAGGCAACATAGCGGGCCTTAACGCCTCACTGAACCTCATTTCCTCATTCTCTCTAATTTTCCTGTCTCTCTCATACGCGTAAACCAGCATTTAGCACCAAAATGTAATGTATTTTTAGACTGTGTCTGGAAAATTAGCCAAAGTGCGTTGAATCTCTCTGGCCTACTTTTTTGCTCTAGCTGCGAAGAATAATAAATGGCAAAGGCTGTATTTTTTAGCAGGGCAAAGACTTAACACCAAGCTTAATGAAGCCCCTCTGGCACTTTCACACCTCCCAGCATGCACTGCACTGATCAGAGGGCCAGTGACATCATCAAGGGATTCCAAAAAGAACCACATATCGGGTAAAGGAACACCTCTGGCTTCTGATCCTAGTTTAGAATGACAGAAGCGTCTGACACACACAGAGAGCCTAAGGTTTTTCTCACTGAGCCTAATAAACAAACGCCTCCCATTAGTTTCAAAATTGCAGCAACAATATGAGGGCCATCAAAGGGTCATGCCACTCTGACCCTAAGAATACAAAACAGTGGCTACATTTCAGCCAAAAATGCCATATGGATGCAGGCAATGAAACAGCACAGCATTAAAATGAATAGGCTGGGAGGGCAGGGGGGCTGGCTGTGAATGAGGGAGAGGGCAGTAGTAATAAAATGTGATTGCGCACACATCAGGTGATTTGTTTGCTGAAGCGTTCAAATCTCTAATCGCCTCATTCATATTGATGATGGGGAACGTACAACACAGTGCTAAGCTTCAGGATCTGGAAGACTCAGGCCAAAAGGGATCTGACACTGTTTAGCTCTAAGCAAGAGGCAGCCTTCTGTGACTGAAGAAAAAAGACTGCAGTGACTACTAATGAATGAGGGGATGGCTGTTATCTTCTCGTTTTTTCCAGGTTTTTCTGCCCAGGGTATTCTTTTAAGTCATTATGGATCGTAATGGGTCATTATTTCACACTATGGAAGACCTTTCAGCAACACTTTATTTTAGGTGGACATTATAATGCCCTTATAAGACCAACAGCTGCTAAATAACTGGCTTCTTATTACTCTTGTAAGGAGTACCTAAGACGTATAAATTGTTTTGAGATTATTTTATTTGTGTAGTATTTGTCATAATCTTGCACAAAGCCCTCACCTGTGCATGGAGTCTACACAGTCTGGAGTGCACTTATTGATTCTTATTTGATCACGGGGTTTGCATGAACCATGCTTATCTACATGGTGGCGAGCAAGACCCAAAGCACAGTACAATGAAAAACGTGTTGCAAACTTGGAAAACTATACCTGAGCTACGTTTTACAAATGTGCTGCAAATGCAGAAAACACATGCTTCAGAGAATGGAATGGAACGGAACAGAAGAAACTTCAGAAACGCTTCAAAGCCAGGCACAACATCGGAAATGTTTCTGGAAGACTCTCAAAGGGGAAGTGATATCTGTGATGGAAAATGAGATCAAGAAAAGACCAAGAAAAGGAACCACAGAGAAAACCATGGAGACATTCTAGTAAGTTCATAGTTAACCTGGCTGGTTGGTCAGCTGACATGTCATACCTATACTATATTAGCTGTCAGTCATATTTCCTATTGCTATTTGAAATTTTACATTTACACTCCACAGCATTTTGTGGCATTTCTAAAGTTGAATGTATTATATAGTTATTTTGATGGGAGTAATTTCTGTGTTTGCAGTTTTTCATTTTGCAATGTGTTGGGTCTTGTTGGCCACCGTAATACCTAGCCAGTTAGATTGAGTCTTATCAGACTGTGTCAGCAAAGCACTGTCTGGATGTCTTCAAATCAAGAAATCATGTGCAGAAGACTATAATGTGCAATACACCAATAAAGGTGCTCTGTAAAATGTTTAATCGTAGTGATGGAAGAGATGTGCCAGACAATCTCAAATCTTCAGATTCTTTTAAAGCAGAATTTCCTTAACAGTTCAAAACGCACACTCTCTAAGTCATAACATGCTGGATTCAGAAGAATTCCTTGTGCCTCTGCTTCTTCTGTGTACAATAATAATATTTATGTCCATCTTATTCTTGTGCATATTTGACAAATCACTGAAATTTAACTCATTTTCTCACAGTAACCACAAAATGCAATTTCCACCTGTTTTGGAGGTCCCACAGTTGAACTATGCATTTTTTTTACCTCAGTAATGTTGATGGAATATATTTTGATGAAAATATGGAGGCGTCTTCATAGGTGAGCTAGCAAGTCAAGTGCTATTTTGAAGCACAGTTTTTGACATCAAGAAAGCTGCGGGTGTCCTGTCTGTTTTATCTCAGCATGGCATGGCTGTCTTTGTGGAGAAGTGTGAATTGTTTTCACAGCACACTTTCACAGCAAACTGTCACTGGGGCAGTACACCTCTTCTGTCACTGGGGTGGTACTCTTAAGAGTACATCTTTAGTACCTTTAATTAGCAAACATAATTGTATTATATTCCATTGAAATTACATTTTTAAGCTGTACTGACACCACACATCCTGTCTTCACTCCATGCTTTTTATTTTATTGTTCTGTTTTGAAACATTAGGTTAGGAAAACATAACATGCATACTCTTTCCCTAGGAAAAACATATTTAAGGTCCAGATTTAGACCTTAAAACTATTGTTGTAGCTTTGAGGGTACATTTACATTGTATGTACCTGCACAGTACTTTTTTTGACCATGTGCAGGGAGTTCTCACCCCTCCCCTTTCACCCCTTATTGCTCACTAGCAGCTCAACACAGAGTCATAACATTTCACACACAGACAGCCAACAGCCTCCTGGTTAATCTGCTGATATAGTTACAAGGAAAATATTTTATTTTATTAACCTAATTCAAAATTTCAGAGTCAATTTCCATTCTGGTAGCAGAATGGCCACTATCGGGGGCCTGCAGAAAGAGAATTTTCATGTTTTTGTCAATATCATTTGGGAAAGGGTTCCAGAGTATAAAGAGAGAGAATCAGACAGAGAGAGAGAAATATATTGTGTGTATGCCTCATCCCTACTGAGGTTTCTCAACAGCAGCTGAATGATATGTATAACCAGGCAAGTAAAGTAGAAGTCCACACTGCAAATTTATAAAGGTTTATATTCTGACATAAATATTTGATATCCAGGGGTGACCAACTGTCAGTTCGCACCAAATACATTAACATTTCTACTACCATCAGCTAATGTAATACCAGGTCACATATGCAACCCATGTTGAAACTTGTAATAATGTTGCTTGAATTGTTCAAATGATTGTACATAATTCAGCTTGATTATTGCTTAATAAATTAGCAACAATCAGCCAGTGTATTACCAGCTATTGACTTGCTAAGGCTTAATACAAGCATTAAAATGGAATCCTAAAATAAGGTATTCTAGTACTTCATGCGTCTGGGAAAAATCCCCATTATCAGGCATTTAAATGTGTTAGAAAGGAGACTGACCTGCAAAAGAAGACTGTCAGGGATGTGAAACACCAGAACATTAACAAATAAGCCTTCAAAAAAAAAGCATTACTATAAAATACAGTTTCATGTAACAAGACAGTCCATAGTATTGGAACAACACACAAACACATTGCTGAATCCTTTACATGTCTCATTTTCACGCACACTACTCAAGACACAACACACATTTCACCAATCCTATTTCTGTTACAGTACTCTAAAAATAATTACCTAAAAGCACTCATCCATACAATTTAAATGCCCTCTAAAGCAAACACTCTCTCTGTCTCTCTCTTTCAGTCTCACTCACAAACACACACACACACATACAGAAAATAACCTGCACCAGACAACATGCATTAGTTACGGTGAACGACTATTTGGCCTTGTACCATATAGCTAAAGGGAGATGGTGTTCTCTCCTGGCTTTCATATGGCCAGTCTGACTCACATCTGAGCTGCTCCACATTTCAAGACCTTTCTAACATATGCACAGACCAGCTGCAACATCATCAAAAATGAAACAGTGACATTCATGATTATCATATTAGATTAACAGCCAGAGGTTCACCAGCGCTGTCCTGTAACCACACGTGCGCTACCTGCAGTGGATATCCTCATACATTAGCAAACAACTGTGCTCTCTGCATATCCGCTACTTTCAATAATACAAAACAGATTTTCTTGCATATACATGTATAAAATGTTTCAAATAATTAGTAGGAAGCTGAAAAAAATGAAGAGATTTGAAATGTGTCCAAAATGACCACCATGGATCATTCCATAATTAATGAGATGGAGCTGTAGAACATCTATAATGAAGTTGGAATAAAAGTAAGATCCAGAATGTCTATTTTGCAAAGTGGTGATCAAAGCGTTCGCAAATGGAGTCTCCAAGTGTCTAAATGTTGGCCCAATCATCAGGACATTCCATCCTTAGTGATCCGAAGTGACACTGTACAAGCACATGCTAGCCTTTACTCTCCCAGCTTGATATTAGGTGATAAAATGACTATATAATTCACACATATTAATTCTCATCATAAACATCTTGTTCCCACAACAACTCGACATATTAAATAAAACATCTGAACCCCTTCTGGTGTCTTGTTTTTGATATTTAAATCTACACCGTATAAGTTGTTCATGAATAAACTAACAATTAATAAGACAATTGATTCCAAACCTGTGATCTATGCCCTCACCATCCATGCTTTACAGCTGTTATATGAGAGCTGTAAAACAGGTGAATCACACAAAAGGTGACCCAGATTTCGGATGGAAGGCAGGAAGAGTAACAGGCTTGTGGATGGATATTAGTTCCAGAGCCCAAGGTGAGGTTCTCACTCCTCTGAAGCTGGCTGCTGTTCACCTAGGCTGGCTGAGCTGAGCATTAGCTCTGAATAACTGCAGACAGTAAAAATCTGGAGGGGAGTCTATCACTGAAGTGCGAGGACAGCAGATAAGAGAGAGAGAGAGAAAGAGACAGACAGCTGGACAACTGCCAGAACAGCTTTGGGCAGAAAGTGTAGAGACTAGAGTGAAGGAAAAGGCAAAAAAAATGAAAAACAGGGAACCTGAGAAAAGGACAGGGGAGAAAAAAGAAGAGGGTGAGAGACAGAGAGGCAGGGGATGGAGGAAGAGAGAGAGACTCAACTACTGAACATTACCTGCTTAGTAGCACAAAGCTGAGGGAATCTCCACGGTAACCAGACAGAGTTCTCTACCTGGACCCCATAATTCCTTCCGAAACTCTGATTAATTCCGTTCTTTTCCCAGCTAAAGGCCTCAGCCTGGAGCAAGAGACTTGGGAATACTTGAAAATACTTCAGCAAGAAAGTTGATTAAGTATTTTGGACATATTTTTCAGTTTCCATAGTGGCATAACTGCGATCTTAAGTAGGGTCACTCATATATAAATTACTTTTAGTATTTTGAAAAAAGCAGTGTTTGCTTTCTTGCTCAATATTGTCCCAGCCAAGGTGGTGCTCTAATAAAGGTTAGATTGATGAATAAAAATGTAAACAATGTTATAGAAAATGTAATTTTCTTTCTTACTTAAAGATGTTAGGCCTTAATCAAGTTGATGCTGTAATGTAGGCTGGTTACAGTATATTATTAAATCATATCTACCCAGGGGTCATGGGGATACAATTACATAAGTAGCAATGTAAGGGATCCACTAAAGACCTTAGGGGCTTTGGTTGCCATAAGCCCATCCTGCGCTATGGGCCCCAGTGCCATTGCCCCGCCCGCACTGCTGTTAATTACACCACTCACTTTATAATGTTTACACCACAAAGATTTCAAATTCAAGGTCTTAAAATTCTTCCTCAGCCAAGCCCCTACATCTACAATTCCTTCCAGTGTCATCGAAGATTAATTGCCATTGATTTTTGTCGTAAGCAGGGATCACAAGGCAGCAGCACTTTATAACCTTCAGCTATAAAAGCCATCATAAATCATAAACCTGGCGTGACACATTTATCAGCGACACATGCCACCTTCTGACGGATTTAGTGAGCCGTTCTGAGGATGCACTCATTTCCATACTGCCTATTTATTGAGTGGAATGTGCATGCTGGGAAAACAAGAGAACACGATAAAGAATCACGCAGTGTTGGTGTAAGTGCATTTTAACTAAGCGATATAAAAAATCATCACATGATAAACAGCATGGGGTACTGGTGTAGACTACTGACAAACCAGAGGGGGATGGAGTTGTTTGGGAATATTGTAATCTGGGAATTAACCTGTGTGCCAGAGGTTGTACAGCTGCAGTTTCCTTGAGTAAGGGATGTATCTAAGCCCTGTCATCCCATTTATATACTCAAAGGAATGTACCTGTAAATCAGAATATGTTCTTAATTGACCTCTCCATGCTGTGCATACAAATGCCTTGCTACCTGCTACTGTTGTGAGATTGGACAAACTTTATGAAACAATGCGGAAAATGTACCCTATTGAGATGTAGTGCATACACAACTACAATTTCTGTTTTTGTCAGAATGCCTCAATTTCAAATTTCATGTCAAAATAATTTCAATGTTAATAACTCTGTATGTGTATGAAAGTTCCCACTGTTAGGATGGTCTGGTTATAGTGGTTTTTGTATGTAATGGTAACTCTAACGGTAACTGTGGCAAGTGCTATGTCATTGCTGTTTAAAACCCATCGATTAGATTTTCATAAACTGGAAACTGAACATTATGTAGTGACTCTAAAGAAACATTGTAGCAGTCTGATGTGAATAATTTAATTTTAAGTTATGTTGAATTTATGTAACTAAAATATTAATGTATGTGCTGCTATTTCCCATTAGGCTGAATGATAACTACAAGTAATACTGGGCTGCCATGAAGAGAGCTTTGGAAATAGCAAATACATCGACTAATCAATATTTATTTTATTTGTGCTAATTGTATTTATTCCAATATTAGTGTTTTCTTAGCAAATAAATGCTTCCTGCTCAGATATATTTTTCCTAATTTCATCAGGTGCCTAAAACATTTGCACAGTTCTGCATATATAGATAAAATGCAAAAATGTGCAATATTGTATGAGGCCAGGTGGAATAGACAGCGGCAGATGATTTAAGTTCCGGAAATAAAAGATATTGTCACATCTCCAGAATGGTAACTTTAAATAAGAGGGCAAAGAGAGGGTAAAGAGATTTCATTCTAAGCAATTGTAGAGCATTTTTATTGGTCCATTCATCATGAAATTTTCGCATAATGTAGGGCAGCTGCTGTGTTCAAATAAAGAAGAAGAATAAAAACCGACAAAAACAGAGACATGTTTTTTGGTCAGCGATGATATGTGTAACAATGTATACACAGCATTGTGAGTTACGCAAGCCTAAGAATAATTTCTAGGACTCACCAAACACAGTCCTGGCAGGCACGGATTCCCGATTGAGCCAAAAGGACACCTGAGACAGGATGACTGTCATGATGCATGGCAGGTACGTCTGAATCACAAAATAACCAATCTTCCTCTTCAGATGAAAGTGAGCTGTCATCACTGTGTACTCGCCTGGAAAGAGAAGGAGAGGGTCTCATACAGTAAATAAGGCTAAGAATACTGTGAGCGGTTCCAATTATACATTACTATGACAAAGCAAACGTGAGAAAAGCTGATTAGAATATGCTGGTTTTCTGTTTAGGTATGATATTCCCCATCTTTAGCAATTTATGAAACATTGAATGATGAAAGAGGTTTGATTATTATGAACTGTAATGACCCTACAGGGAAATTTGTCATTTCGCTGATTAACTATGCTCAGTCTGGGAGCAACAGCATCACCAGAAGAGCATTAACCCCTGTGGGAGTTAAGTGCCTTGCCCAAGAGCATTTCATAAACCCCACAAGCAGCCAGTCCTGGGGTCTGAACCCATAATCTTCTAGTTGATGGCTCACCTCTTCTACCACTGGGCTACATATCAGTGAAGCTACATGCTTTAATAAATTATATTTATTGAAGTGAACACCTTTCTGCACATTTTAATGCAAAATTTATGTGCACTGAACTATGTTTAGTTAATTTTGTTTTTATTAGTTACTTTTAGTATTTAGTTTATTTGCTGAATTTAACATATTGGGGAAAAAAGAAGACATGAAATGTGTACTGTGCAAAATTTATGTTAAATTCAGTAAAACAAATAAAATTTGCAAAAAAATGTTTAAGTTTTTTCTTTGTCCTAAAACTGCTACACCTCACTGGAGAAACTCATGCCATATTCAGGCACAAAAACTTTTTTTTTTCAGATTGGTTATATTTTCGTCTAGCAGTGGCACCAGTATAAAACTAGAATCTCTAACTTTTGTTCTTTTTTCTGTCTTAGCCTACACATGGCCACATTTTCTCTTGTATAATAGGAACACTCTCCATTAAACCAAATTTTAAAACATCAAGTCAGCGCAGATTCAGAGCTGGTAACTCAACAGCCTGAGAGGAGACAATGGGGCGAAGTTGGAGAATAAGTGTGACAATGGCATGAAGTGGTTAACACATTAGGCCGGTGTAATTTGCGCGTCTCAATAGCTCTGTGAGCTACAGCAACATGGCACGCTGCCTGGCTTGGAAGAGAAGATCTCTCACAGAAAACTGTCCACGAGACAGAAGGAGAGAGAGCGTGAGCAAGATGTGCGTTGCCCATGGCAACAGAAGAGAGAAATGTATCTGGATTCTTTGCGCTTGGTGGAGGATGCCTTGATGCTGTCACTTGGCAGAGAGGGAAACTCCTTCTCTCTTTCTATAGAGCGAGCACACAGAAAAGGGATTTTACCCCGATCTAATCCTCTAAGACACACTCTCCCCTCTTTTGTCGGAGTGCACACTCCACACTCACTGCCTCCGTTTGTCCCTCACGGAAGCGCGCAAGGCTGGACTGGTGCGTAGCTTTAGCGCAGAAGAATTTGCCTCAAATGAGCTCGTGTACTCTCAGTGCCCTGTGGTGCTCTCTATCTCCTTAATTCAATTTGCCATGCCTCTCCCCATGCCTGTGTGCGCGGCGGATAAGGAGGAGGATGAAGTGAGAGTGTGTGAGTGAGAGCGAGAGAGATAGAAAGAGTGACACAGAAGAGTGAGAGACAGAAAAGGGAAGGAGAGATAGTGTAGTGTATGTGGAGCAGCTTAAGGCCACTGTCTGTGTAGCGTGAAGATCGTAATTATGGCGTGAAGATGAAATTTGAACAGGACGACGTCACTAGGGGCTGGCACCACACCACTAAAAGAGTGCATTCGCTCAAATATTGGGACAAAAACAGTCAGCCAGAAACAAAAGCGTTAATACGCCAGGAAGCCATGAATATGTAGCAAGTTATGTTGTGATTCCACTTGACATAACTGTAATTCATGTTGCACTGTTATGTCAGGCCCAGTAGCATTACTGAGGATTCTACACATTGTGAACTCTTTCTGGCCACTTTATTTGAAATATCTTGTTGTACAGATGTACATTTAGAGATCATAGCTCATATATTTACACACACAATTTGTGCTAGTAATCCTAGTCCTTCCTTAGTGGTCAGCTTCAGACCACACAACCACTTTTGGCTGGATATTTTCAGTTGGCAGACTGTTTTCATCTCAGCAGTGACACTGATGTGTTTAAAACAACACAACATCCCCTGACATGCCTCTATCATGTTGCTGTCCCTGGTGTGCTGAGAATGGTTCACCACATAAATAATAGCTGCTCAGCAGTGGTCCTCTGACTGTCCCTTTCCCATTTCTGGCAGAGTAGAGGGGGGGCTGATAAACTGTGGGCTATACATACAAACTGCACCTATATTTTATCAGGTACACCTACAAACCGCATCTGTATGGAAGGTATACCCAGTAAAATACTGTAGCTAGATTCAAGGAAAGTGTAGTTATTGAACCGGCAATTCAGTTTATATGAACCTTTCTAATGAATTAGTTCAAACCATGGTCCCACAGTAAGAAATTTGCGCATTCAGAGCACAGATATTTATGATCTATTTAAACCTAATGCATTATTTGCGACAGTAATAAGCTAAATATATACAAAATCATCACTTATAGTGTACTTTCTATTGGGTGGTGGCTGTCCCAAACCCTAAGCACTAGTATTATGATTGTTTTGATAGTGAGAAAATGGAATGTTCAGTCATTAATCTTAATAAAATAAACATATTAAGGTATAGGTTTACTCCAAGCAAAAGGATTTTAGTCTAAAGTCCAAGCTAGTTAAAAGTCTGAAATGTGTTTTAGCTCTGACTTTGAATCAGTTCTGTAGAATGGTCCATATTAAATGTCAAATACCCTCACAAGTGATCATTTTACACTGTGTATATGCTTAATGCCTCGTTTAGCTTCTGTATGTACAGATTTACCTCAATATTTTATACTTTATCAAATGTACTAGACTTTATTTTCACAGTGACAGCGAAGCAACATTTTTCATGCTGGCCTACATCACATGTGGCAATGTGACTCATTCTCTTTTTTATGCTAGTGCAGTGGTGCTTACTTCATTTCATTTGTGAACATGCAAATGCACTGAATTGTTTTAGCACATATTTAATTCATTTTCTTTATAAGAAAGCCCAGTCTGTCAAATATGCCTCAATATGTCTGAGGTGTTTATTAAATACTACTTGTGAAATGGGGTTGTCATTGGTGCACTGAACTGTGTTTGACCTAGGGCCTTCAGATGAATTATTAGTGCCATTAATGTTTTAATGCCATCAAGGAATTTTCCTTATTTGAACCTTTGACCACTCTTAATTGTCCATGCTGAAGCCCAGCTGCTCACACAGTCTACATAGATTGTTGGACTGTAGCCCTCTCATTCAAAATGGCTTATGAAGCAAAAACGTCAGTACATTTGTTTGACTATGGTGGACAGTGCTTGTGGGAGACCTCTGAAGAAATCAACAAGCAGCAAATTAAAAAAAAAAGGCAAACAGAAAAGCTACAGTTCCTCTCACAAGAGTGAGAGGCCACAATCGCAGAAGAGGTGGAATCATTGACTACATGTACAACACTCAGGGGAACACTTAGGGCCTTCTAGGACTTCAAAGAAGGCCTAATGATTTCTGGGAACAAAAAATTGCAGCTCTGTGGATTTTTAGTTATATTTATTTAACAGAATAAAATACTAATACTAACACTACTCTTATTTTATTAAGTATAGGGTGGAAACAAAAGGGTTACATTTTTTAAATGCCATGTGTTTTTCTCTGTGGTATCTCAGTAGATATAGCAAAGCAAGCTCTCCTCTAACACATTAGCACATTACAAAATGACAGAGGAATCAACCAATCATGTTTTGATTTCCAATAAGTGGGACCAATTTCATGAATAAAAAAAAGTCACTGTACACCTTCTGCAAGTCCCAGAAATTTCACTGACTGAATTGAAGTGGCAGCTTAATTAATGGGCTGTTAGAAGTAGAAAACAGCAGCGGCAGCTCTAAACCAGGTCTCTCAACTGAGTCACTGTGAAATTGTTACAAGGTAAAATATATGCTAATATGTCTGTTACAAGCTTTAAGCAAATCATGGATTGTTCTATAGAGGCTTCAAATGTCTGTGTTTAATCTAGAACTTTCCAAGAGGATTTCTGTAATCATTCAAATTTTCCATTCCACCTTAAATGCTGCAGCAGTTACATTCTGGTGCCTAAATGCACTGAATTGTAACTGCTGCACCGCTTAATGGAATGGGTATTTCAAATAAGAAGCTTACTTCAGTCTAGTCAGAAGGTGTTCATGCAAATCACTTAGCACAAACAAATTACTGTAATCCTATAGGGACACTAGTATTAGCATTATCGTTGAGGTGCATTTTTTTCTTTTTCTTTTACTAAGGTTTTATATTTATGGCCCAATTTGAAGGCCTGGTTGTAATAGTCATGGTTCACCACTGATATATGACATATATGATGTATACAGTAATTGTTGCTCTCACTGGATGTCAGTAAAATAGATACATTGTGATGAAGTTTTTTGTGTCTACTCTAATATATATTACAAAATGTACTGCTTTTTAAATGAAAACAAATATAAGGTTGAATTTGAGCAATTAAACAAAAGCAATTAATTGTGACTACACAAAACAATGTGATTAATCAAGATTCATTATTCAAATATAATAAGTAAGGGCTATTATTGTAGTTCGACAGGCCTAGTTTTATCGGACTTGCTAAGTGACTGGCAATAAACAGCAGATGCCAAGGACATCACAGACTTAGGCAACTTTATACATAGCACACCTCTACAAATACACGAACACAATCCCTCTTCCTCTCTCTCTGCCTGTGTTCCAAACAAGAACAAAGATCTAGCCTCCTAACTGCTACGAGCGATCATGAGCAGCTCTCTTCTCCCACCAACTGCAGGACCATCACCATGGCGATCGTTGTTTGAAATGCAGATGTGTCATCGTCGAGCAGGGTGGCACTGCAGAAACGTGGCTCACAGTTTCTTTGATACAAGTATGAGTCAAGCCACCAATTACGCCAAAATGATGAATGCTTCTCTCAAAGCAAGACATGAAGGAGCAACAAGACTCAGAGAGCAAGGAAGGCAGGCACAGGACATGGGAATTCACACAGAAAACAAACATGTGACTAAGAGCAGTCATGCATTTATTATGGATCCAGTAATCATCTTTCCATGCAATTATCTGAGTGGAGGGTGCTATAAATAAAACATCATCTGGCACACTCCACTGTAAACTATAAAACCTGATTAGTTCAGTTTATTCAAACGCTTTCATGGACAATAATTGCCTTCATTCATTTGCGTTGCCTGTAGTTTTGTGTACATTGTATATCTTCTGTGCATCTGGGTACTATGTGAGTAAACACAGTTGACTAGCTTTTAAAGGCCAGACTCATGTTTGCATGTGAAATGCACTTAGAATAATCTCTTCATTCTTCGGATTACTACTTAAATGTAGAAAATATGTCCTTAAGTGTTTTAGAGCCAGTGTCGTCTTAAATAGCCCTTCAGATAAAGTGTATGCGTTCAAGTGTACCTGATGACCCAGATTTGCCCTATGCTAGACTCCACACTGAGACTGTTATAGTGAATTATTAACCCCTTAAAACCCCAGGCTTAATACATTCTAAGACTTATTGTTCAGTAACTACATGGACATTAATGTAAACTGGCTGAGCGTCTTAGATTATAGAAGTGTGTAATAAAACTTGCCCTGGCCATTTAAGGGTTTAATCTAACATCACACAATCTAACATCACACAATCAGGAGATTTACTTGGTACCCTTGGTCAACTATACGTGCTATTATTGTAGTGTGAATTCCAAACTCCCCTGGAAGCAACATCAGCACAAGAACTATGTGTCAGGAACACCATGAAATGGGTTTCCATGGCCAAACAGCTGCACATAAGGCTAAGTTAGGGTTTGGAATTGGGGCTTGGCCCCTTAGTTCCACTGAAGGGTAATGTTAATGCCACAGCATACAACAACATTTTAAATGTTCCCAACTTTTGGCAAGAGTTTATGGAAAGCCCTTTCCTGTTCCAGCATGACTGTGCCCCTGCGAAACAAAGCACGTTGAGATAATTTAGCATCGAGATCCATAAGGCTAACAGCTCTGTAAGACGTGAGCTACTCAGTACTGCTCACAATATGGTATGCTAAACAATTTATTGATGCCTCTTAACATGTTAATTATTTACTCAGGATTTTAGTAACAAAACTCTCAGTTATAACTGATAATAACTTGTTTATATGGCCTCAGGCACTCTGTAGTGTCACACTCACTTAGATGTAAAGAAAATATTGATATTACACATCTTAAGTGATAATGCAAAGATGGAAAGGGGGGATGGCCGTTTAACAAGGGGGGATGGTTTTTGTCATTTTTTTTAGAACACAAGGATGGCTTCCCATCACATCCCTCCTCAAATCGAACCCTGTATGTAATATGTTGTATGTACAGAAAGACTTTTAGGGTTAAACAGGTGAAGGCTGTCATCTCTCTATATAAGCACTACACAGAGTGAAAAACAGCACCGTATGTTTATGTAGATTAAAAATGTTTGGGATGTCGTTCAAAGGCATTGCTTGATTATTAGATTAATTCAAATGGAATTTAATGTTTTATGATATTATATTTTAGATTCTGTACTTTAATTTAACTGCTGCTATCAATAAAAACATGGCTTTATTTGGCACTTTGAGTGATGATGGGTCAATTTTAGATAGAATGTTGTACTCAGGTCAGTTTTGTACCCAAAACTTGATGATGTGGTTTCGAGTCAGGGTCTGTTTGAAAACAAAATTTCATCAGGCTTGGTTTGGGGTCGGACTCAAAACTGTGGTTTGGGCAGGTTTGGACCCGAACAGGAAATTCTTGGGCTGTAAAAAAAAAGCTTTAGTTGTGTGCACACGTTCTTCCTGTTTCTTGGTGGGCTGATGGAACAGTCCTTAAAGAAGGCATTAATGGCTGATTCCCTTAGGACACCTCCATTACCAGCCTGAGAATTCTGTCCATGGGGACATAAAAGAGCCACACTTATCTTCAGCACCACAGCCTGACAAATTCAGACCCCCACTAGTGTCAGCTCATTTCCACGTTACCCTGACAACCACATGATGAAAAAGGCCAGAGATCACCAGAACTATAGGATCAGGATGACCTTTACACAGCCTCATCCAGCGGCAGGCGAATATGTGCTACATTTCAGAAGATGTGTGTATTGAGTGCATGCTTCACTGTCCCTGGAGGCTCACAGGCTGCTACTGAGTACAGTTCAATCAACCTGACCATTGATCCGCCACTGCTAGACACTAGACATCAGCATACACAATGTATCTGTCTCTAAATCACTTACAGTGTCGCGGTATGGTATTTCACTGTGTACAGAAATTTTTTATGATCCTTTACAATTTATATTCATTGTTCTCAAAATATCTACTGGTAGCCCCATCTATTCTTATTATCTCTCTTGTCAGAACCCGGCATAAATAAAATAAATAAAACTTACTTCCAATCAAAATCCCAAGTGAAACAACAGCAACAAGAAAATGTGTAAATACTAGGGCTGTCAAACAATTAAAATAGTAAAACATGTTAAACTGCATTATTTTTGTGTGGATAATCACAATTAATTGAACTCGTCTTTATTCCTCAAGTTTGACCCTGAAGATAGAACTCTGTTTAAAATGCAGTTCACTTTGTTTTAGCTTTATGAGTGTAAAAAAATAAGCTTCATCAGAATAAATGAATTACTTTCAGTAATTCAAGACCATTCTTTTTCCTCATGTGAAGGCAGGGTTCACATGAATGTGAATGTGAAAATCACACAAATGCAGGGTGAATACGGTTTTCAGTTCCCAGTGAGAGAGCAATTATTACCCAATTATACTAATCAACTTAGTCATGTGCAATTGCTAGGTCTACATGGTAGACTTGGTAAACCAAGCTGGGAAGGTAAAGGCTAGCTTTATTTATACCGTGGCCATTGTCACAAAGCAGCCTCAGAGAAGATCCAAGTCCAAGCCCCAGATGAGTGACAGTGGCAAGGAAAAACTCCCTATGAGAAGAAGAAACCTTGAAATGAATCAGGATCCAAAAGAAGAATCATCCTTTGGTTGACACCAGATATTAAAATAATAATACAAGAGCAATATGAATTAAAAAACAAAAATTGACTAGTAATATAAAATAATGGCTATAAAATAAGTACCAGCAATTAATACTAGCTTTCCACTTTGCTGTTCCTTTTGATAGTTCCTCATTGACTTATCCATAACTCCCCTATGAACACTGGCGTAGTCTGCAGAATAGCTAACATACAAATGTTGTGTTTGCTTGTAATTGACACTAGATGTGCGTTGGTGAAAAAGTAATCCAACATGGTAGAAGCTGGAAATAACATTGCTATCAATAGAGAGCTATCAACAGAATTTGGCATTTCAAACCTGTATTTGAGCGAGGAGTCATAGCCCCTCACACAGCTGTTACATTTTATCCCATTTGTGGCTTTACTAATCTATCCTGTTGTCAGCACAAGTAAATGATGAAGCTAAGTTTTGAAGGATATTATGTGGGGCCTGACACTGATCGCAATTCAATAAGTTACTGTATAACCTCGTAAAAACATATGTATTGCATTATATTACAACTCTAGGATATGTATCATATGCATTGAACAGTGGCTCGAGGGGAGTTTACAGGAACTAGGATGTAAGAGAAGAAGTACTGATCTACATAGATATGTGCCTAAAATGTGGGGTCTTTGGAACGAAAGCTTAAATAGCTGTGGGCCCCAGCCAGTCACCATAACAAAGCTTGAACTGAGAACTGAGTGTTGTGTGTTCTCTGTACCTGCACATCCATCACAAGGAGAACCCTAAGGTTCAATTTCTAAAGGAAGTTGATCTTTGACAATCTGCATTCATTCTTCCATTTAACACAATGAAACCACATATGAACTACCATGCCAAAATACCACTATTGCTCTGATGAATCTCTTGTTGTGGCTATACTACAGTGGCCTATACAGTTATTATTGTGAAAATAAGAATTAAAGTGCTTTGTTTCTTGAGGTTTGAAAACTGTATTAGATTGTATGCATGTCTGTACAGAGAAGTGTACATAGTGAGCTGTTTCTTCAAACTCCTCTGTCACGCTGTTGTTTTCCAGTCCACAAACTCTGTCTGAAGCAGAGAGGTATAGACATGTGTAGGTGCTTCCCTCACTGTTGTGTACAGCAGTTCCCTCTACACATCTCTTCCCATTCAAAAAGGAGAGGGACAGTACAGAGAGGGTGAGGAAGAAAGAAGTGGAGGGGAGAGAGTGGAAAAGACAGACAGATAGAAAGGGAGAGAAACTACAAGCAGGAGAAAGATAGAGACAGAGAGTTCTTTCCCAGCGGAATGCTAGCCATGCTTGTCTGTAATGCTGGTGAGGTGGTGTACTGGGGCTTTTCTGCACTCAGCAGAAGTGGAATGTCTTGTTGAGGGTTTTTCGCCTCATGCCGTTTCTGTTCGCTTTACTGAACCACTAAATGGCACCGGGCAAGAAATGTGGCCACAGCCTACAGTGCGAGCACACCACACGCAGGATGGAGGGGGTTGGTGAGGAATAAACGTAAGTGTTTCTGGCTTCACTGCTGAGTTGTGTCCAGAGATGCCGTTAAGAATATTGCAGTGGAGAAAATGACATGTAGTCATTTGTTTAAACATTTCAAACAGCAGGCAAAAAGCATGTCCAGACAGCCACAAAGCACATCTATTCTGCTCACATCTCTTGTCAGACACGGACAAAAGATACCAAGATATAAATAGAAATCAGAGTAGGCCGAGTTGGACCTTATCAAAATCATAAAACTTAAAGGATTTAAGCACTTGAAAAGATTTCATCCTGTGTTCAATACAAAACTTGTTTATGAGGGATTGTGACTCACCAGTGCTGGATTTGATGGTCTCATTGCCCACAGTCTGTCCCAGCAAGTCATACTGGTTTAATCGGGAGCTCTCCCCCTCCACTACCACTGAGTTTGAAGCATTCTTCGTCCAAGTATACGTCACCTCTGATATTGTATACGCATCTATGGAGAGAGTTATTACTAGAGAGTGACAGGTTCAGAATCTTCTCAATTGCTCCATTGCTATTGGCCCATTCATCATGAAACTGTGTTCACACAATATAAAGGGCAGGTAGCTAAATAAGTGGTCTACAAACGTAAATGAGTTACAAGGTTTTGACATAGTAGTGACAATATAATACAATATATTGAACGTAGTTTGGCATATACACTGCAAAAAAAAATATCTTGGCAGGAGAAATCATTTTAATTGAGTCCAAATATCTGATTATTTAATTTATTTCTAGACATTTTTTATCTAGATACATGTTGTCCATTGGCTTATTCAAGAAATAAGCAAAGTTATCTGACAAGGGAATAAGATTTCTCTTTCATATTGCTGCTGGCAGAACAAAACCTCATTTCTTCAACTTTGGTAATTTTAGGGAGAAGGAAAAAACATTATTTACTTGTAATGCAAGTTAATGTAACAAGATTATTTTAAACAAGATTTTGGACCATTTCATTAAATTGTAATGTAAACAATGTAGCTGGGGTTTTCAAATTACGTAATAAAAGGAAGAAATGACAAAAATGGAGATACGAAGTTTTGGTGCGACAGCAACAATATGGAGGTAATCTCTAGAACCTTGGAGGAGACTTACAGATGCTTTAATTCTTAACAAACTATCTGGTGAAACTAGATTGTCGACAGCATCAGGGTTAGGACCAGGTTTTTGATTAGGTTTAGGGTGTGGGTTGAAGTTAAGGTTAGGTTTAGGCATAGGTTTTGGATGAGAATTTATTAAATTTAACATAAAGTTCAGTTGCATTTAATATACATTTAGTTTAATATCAGCTAAGCACAAGGTGAGTATCTACAAAGAATCTACTGTGGATGCTCAAAATTCGAGGATACCACTAATTTTGCCTTTTTTTTTTAAGGAAATAATGCTTAAAAAGGGCCAAGCTATCTACCAATGGAATAAGACATAGTGACAATACGTAATTATTTAAAACAAGTCAAAATATCTAGAAATGGTTTATATTTTATAATATTCTTACAACAGTCTACTTTTTTGCAGTGTCTATTGATCTCAATGTCCTTTCATATTGGTCACAGTGGTAACCTGTACTCAATAGCTGCAAAAAGAAGTTGTACAATGAAGATGAACATATATTGATCTAATCCATTCACTTCCACACTGTGTCCAAAGCCCTATTTTGCTATGGTGGTCTTAGCTCAGCTCCTGACAGCAATATAAAGACATATTAATGAAGAGCCCATTCCACGGTACTCACAGCTGCCGAATTTAAGAGGACAAGAGTGGAAATCCATGGGAAAATCCTCAAGATGCATCGGACACTCTGCATGTACTGTTAACCTGTGACACACACACATGCCACAGAAAATTAGTACATGAAAATAGTGATGCACTTTAATTGTCCTGTAATTCTTCTCTATTTTCTCCTCTGCTTTCCACCAGTAATTAGAGGCCTCCCTCCCCCATCCCTATGCTTTCTCCCCTCCCCCGCCCCCCCCTCTCTTTCTCACATGCACTTGACCACTAAATCACATTCTCATTGATTTAGCAGTAAGACATATTTGTACTCCCAGATTTCGGTAATGGGGAAAGTGATTCTGAAAACAAAACAAAAAACAAAGCAAGGAAAACACGATGGAGTGATGTAGAGTGCCTACTCCAATTTGTCCTGCTTCAGAGCGTGAGTGTGCTGAAGAGGGACTAGGGCCATGGTGTGTCTCTTCCATTAGGAAGCTCATAGGAATGTTCAATGCTAACATCACAATATCGGTGCTGTTGAAAACATCAGAAACACCGCAGTCACTCAGATAGGTGCAATTTACCACCCCCAGAAAAATGTACAGTACTTATTTGTAGTTCTTTTGCGTGAGAGGGCAGCATGCCATGGACACAATATTACTATTGATATTATATTGCTACATACTGTGATTACTATACAACCTGCAATACGACTTGTGATACAGTTGTATGCAAACGTTTTGGAGCCCCTGGTCAAAGCAACTTTTATTTAAGTACACACTTCACCACATTTTAATGCACAGTTACTGATCATTTGATCAAACTGATCAAAATTTAATATATTATAAAAAAAGACCTAAAATGCAGCCTGTTTAAAGGTTATGATACATTTTATATTTAATATTTAATTTTTTCCTATATGTTAAACTATACGTGCACTGAAATTGGCAGAAAAAATGCCATATATAATTTGCATAGTGTTACCTTATTTTCACTTTTTATTTGCACGTATTAAAAATGCATAAGTAAATAAATTATGACATGATTCAAGATCAACTTGCTTTGTTTTAACCAAAACAATTTACTTTTGTTGGATTAAATGAATACTTTCATTCATCAAAACAACCAGAGAAACTAGAACTGTGATTGGTGAAAATGCAAGTGTCTGATTACAGCACTCATTTGCATACTGTAGCCTTTTGCGAAATCAGTACAGCAAAGGCCATTATCGCAATGATGATTACCATGTCTTGTGTAGCCCTAATAAAAAATAACGTTTAGAGGATCTCTGGTCTTGCTAGTTGGTCCCTAATGTCTATTCCAAAATTAAAAATTGAAAATTTATTAATGCTAGTCCATCATGTATAAAGAATGATCTTTGGTATTGCAAAGAGCAAGCAGAATGTGGCACGGGACAAAAACCAGCCAGCGCAGAAATATTAAAAGAGCAAAAAAAAAGAAACAGTGGGGAAAGTGAGATGTTAATGGAATGAGCAATCATGCCTTCAGTAATAAGTTAGCAAGTTATCAGTTAGGCTGCAGCTGTCCTGTATTTCTGTTACAATATATTTGACTTCAAAGCTGCATTTACACTAAGAAAAACCCATATGACTGCTACTGTACGGTCTTTCCGAATGAGGGCTTTTGGCACTAGAATAGAACATCAGCCTACTTCAAATTGGAAATCAACATTAAACTGAATGTTGACCACAGTAAGTGATAGCATGAAGAGCATGATGACTACCTCATAGTGTACAGCAATGTGCCATCGTCCTGAATGCGCAGTAGCTTATTGGGCATGGTCATGTTGTGTGCCACCGACTTCTTCCCATTGTGAAAGAAAGTGTCTGGAGTCCAGATTTTGCTGGCCATCAGGTTGTTCAGACGCAGGATGTTCATTGGTCCCTCAAATTTCAACCTCTCGTCCTTCCAGCTCTGTCTGAAAAACACGTCTATTGTGTACTCCTGTTTAAAAAAGAGAAAATAGAGGTAGTGCTGAAGGTTATTTTCAGCGGCTTTCAAGTTCTACAGTTTGTCGCTTGTTAGCTGTTATATTAGCAAAGTCCAGCTCTGCGTTTTCTCTGATAAAGGTGAAATTTATTATATTATTGTGAAATTATGTGTGACATTGTTAAAAATTGGCCTTTTGACCTAAATAATTTACTTGACTGCATGAAAGAAAGGCTCATATGAAACTGTGATTGGTCAAGATGCTCACAGCACCCAGTACAAAATGTTGTGACTGGATGCAGTGCTCATTTGCATACTGTAGCCTTCTGCGATATCCATATTGGAAAGGCCAATATTGCTATTAACAAACAATATATTGTGAAGGCTTATTATGAAGGTCACCACTACAACTTTTCAAACTGCTGGCCACCTAGCAGTCCTGAATGTCTCACTGCACTGGGATGATGACCCTAAGGGCCAATTCACTACACACTAGTACACCAGAGGGACTCCAGTTTCCACATTCTGTACATCTCCCCCACCTCATAACGCTGAGAACCTTATTAGCCTTATTCGTTTTTGCTAAAGTGTGATAGTGTTTCCAACACCATTCTGCTTTCATGTCACATGGATGGCTTTGGCAGACTAATTTTAGCTGCAATGTCTCATATTGACCTGGCGGATGAGGGTTTTGTATGAATAGCCATTAGCGAGCAGCGAGGCAAGGCACAAAAGAGAAAGAACACGCTTTTCTACACAGCACTTACAAAAAAGAAGGAGCGAGAAAGAGACCAGAAAAATAGAGAAATATCCAAGTTTTAATGCTTGGATGAGGTGAAAACGTTGGTTTGTCATTAAAGGAGAAAAGTGAAAATAGTGGTGGAAACATCGTTTTATCTATCGATAAACATAGCAGCATATGAAAATCATCAGGTGTCTCAAACCGCATACATTCATGCTAAATAGTATGTCAAAGTAGTACACCACCAATGGTGCCATCACAATTTTAAATGTACTATTTAGTACAGTGGTATGTGAATTTAGACCCAGCTGTCAATGCTACATCTGGACTGACGTTCACAGGGGTTCAGTAGGTGATAGTGAAGTGGGACAGTGACTTCATTAAATGGGCCACTAACTGCTCTGCTCAGTCTTTCTGAACTGTTAGGGCTTCAGCTATGTACCAGCTAAGTACCAAGGACAGGGGGCTGTCAAAACAGTTCTACAAAGAGCCAAGAGGTTCATATCCCTCCTTGCACAGTGAACAAGACTCCTATATGCTTGTATGACACAGGCATGTGATGTTATCTTTGGGAATTAACGCATAAGAACACTTATTGTTTCACATATTTTTGTCTTATCACTTAGAATTTAACAGGCAGTTCTTGTTGTTGTGATATATGTATATGTTTGTTACCAATATACGCAAATACAACAGAGCTGATTGGCTGCATCTGCACTGTACTTCACTGAAAAAGCAGTCTAGGCTCCTTAAAAATTCAGTGTGAATGGCTGAGGCTAAACTGTTGTAGGCAGAATAGGTGGACTCACAACACCACAAAAACAATTCAGAACAGACTGTTTTTGCAGCTTAATTTCAATACATAGACTGTATGGACTAGGAAGAGAACAGTACATTTTGAAAGTCGCAATTTGCATTATATAACACATCAATTAAATTTGTTTTTCCATGGTATGGACCTCTTGAGTTACAAGTGAAAAACCAGGGCAGGGTGGAAGGGTACGGCTTGTGTTTATAATGTTCACTGAGGTGGAAGTGCAGGGCTAGTCTGGAAGTCCAGTTAGAGTGGTGTTGTCCCCAGATGACTCCACCACTGCATGCACTAGCCTCTCAGGGCCAGGGCCAGGGGTGTGGGGGGTGGTGGGGGAGGGTGCAGGGCCAGGTGCGGCAGGGCAATACCGGGGCTAAACAACTGCTGCCAATTCTCCAGCCAATTCTCCTATGTTCTTTTCCCCTTGTCTTCTCACCCTAATTTTCCCCTTTCTCTCTCATTCGCTCTCTCCATCTCCCCTTAGTCTCTCTCTCCATTTCCCTCTCTCTCCTGCTTTTTCCTTGTGTCTCTCCACTGGAAAACCCACACCAGGGGCTAAGGCTATTAGTAAGCCCAGTGTAGAGCAAATTTATCAGGCCAAAGGGGCTTAGCAGCTTCCCCTCTCATCCATCACGGACTGGATGTGGCCTGGGAAAGCCTGGCCTGAGGGCCATCCTGCTCTGTATCGCATATACGCCCTAAAACCCATACACATAACACTGACTAAATGGCTCCAGACCGATCCAGCAGAGATACATCATCTATCACAGTCACCATGGCCACAGGGAGAGTGATGACAGCAACTAATGATTGCAGACTAGTGGGCCATGAACACGAAGATAACAAGATGACCACCGCTTTTTCTCAGCACTGTCCAGCTTATCACATGGTAATGATGCTCCTGCTTGTTAACACATGGGTCCAAGCCATGGCAACATCAAAGACTTTACAGTTACATTTTTTTAAATTAAAGGCTTTATCCTGACCCTCGTGTTCAAATGGTTAAGAGATTAATCATTACATACAGCAACCCCACTAAATTACCAAATTCAATCATTCCATTTGGAACACCTTTGGACCACATCTTCAACATATGGCTGTAGCATGAGAAGAGACTCCATGATTCTAGGAGGGGAAAGAACCCTGAGAACTAGGCGGCTTCTGCTTTGAGCTAGAAGGCCACACCCCTCACAAACAGAGAGAAGACTAATAAGACAGGCCTTTTAAAACCAAGCATAAAATTGTGTTAAGGTTTCAAAAGATGTGTTGTTGAGAGGCTTCCTTTAACAATGGCAGAAGATACAGCAGTTGGAAAATATGTTTATCATCAGAATAACACTGTTTAACCTCTCAGGACCAGATGGAAGTATGTTAGAAGATGCGACACAAAATATGCTGTGATGCGCATGCAATGTGCATGCACAGTTCACGTTATCATTTCACAAACTCTATTTTCTTAGCCAGAGCAAAGTTACAACCTTTATTAACACCAGTGAATTTTCATTTTCTGTTTCGTTCCCGGGGTGGCACAGTGGTGCAGTGGGTAGTGCTGTCACCTCACAGCAAGAATGGCCGGGGTTTGATTCCCTAGACGGGCGACCTTTCTGTGCGGAGTTTGCATGTTCTCCCCGTGTCTGTGTGTTTCCGGTTTCCTCTCACAGTCCAAAGACATGCAGTCAGGCCAATTGGAGATTCTAAATTGACCCTAGGTGTGAATGTGTGAGTGACTGTGTATGTCTGTCTGTCTGCCCTGCGATGGACTTGCGACCTGTCCAGGGTGTATCCTGCCTTCCGCCTGATGACAGCTGGGATAGGCTCCAGCGACCCAGAAGGAGAAGCGGCTTAGAAGATGTGTGTGTGTGTGTTTGTGTGTGTGTGTTTCGTCTCCAGCTTGTCTTAGTAAATTACACATTAAATACAGGTGTATACTGTAGTCGGATCAAGGCACATGTATGCTTCTGTGTACATCTGGCCCTCAGCTAGAGGCCTGAGAAACAACAAGGAGGGGATCAGGAGGTGGTGAAGTTTATAGGACATTAGATAGGAAGGGTATAATCAATTGCTGTCTATTCATTTTCATTAACCTTTCAAACTTTATGCCAGAGAAATGTGCAGTAACACTTTACTTGAACCCTGCTACATAGCATTGACATAACCATGCCATGAACATGTCATGGCAGATTTCATTTCATGGTGTGCAGTAATATCACGGTGTCATGTTACATTACTGGTCATTGTCGTGACAGATGCCATAATGTTTGATGTTTTGACAGCTTATGTAACATGCTAACTGCTAAGTGTACTCTAGTTAGCCATCTTGACATCGAACATTATGGCATCTGTCATGACAATTAATAGTAATAGTGACATGACATGATACATCTTTCATGATATGTTTATGGCATGGTTATGTCATGTAGCAGGTTTCAAGTGAAGTATTACTAAATGTATAATGACATTTCTCTAAAAGAGGTCAACTTAAATGTTTATATAGGCGATCATGCAAATTATCACTGTAGAAAACATGTATCTCCAAATAGCAACTTTACAGGAGAAGACAAAAACATTCTTACAAAATATTTAACAGACAAATAATTAAAGCTTTTAGCACTTACTGAAATCAATCATTTCATTAGCAAAACATCATAGTACTCTCCTAACTGATATTAACAGAGACTTAAGTCATATTGTTGTTGTCTGTTTTAATAAATCGTGATTGCTCATCTTTTCTTGCCTGAGGAATGTATGATATTTCTCTCAGGTGAACATTTATTTTAAGGTGGCTAATTGAAAGTTTAAGAGATTAATTATGCAAATTGGACCTAATTATTACACAAAGCATTAGTATTAAAAAGCTGCATTCATTCATTTAATGAGTGCAACATCATGCATTGTATATGCACCCTAACTGACATTAACAGCCACTAAGTTGAATCCTGGTTGTCCATTTCTTTTCGTTAATCCTGATTGCTCAACTTTCCATATCTGAGAAAAGTAAAGCAATAAGTTTTTTTAAAGGTGTTGACTTAACTACAGCCAAAACAGGGAAAACAGTGCAACAATTTGACCGACATGAACTTGAACATTTAATCTCTTTCCTCACGAATCTTTTCCCTCTGCTGTTTACCTGCACATCGCACACGGTTCACTGCAGGGTTAGCTCTAATGATGAGCGTTCACATGACCACAGGGCAGAGGCAGAGAGAGGGAGAGGGGGAGAAAGAAAGACTGAGAGGTTATACTAACAGCTTCAGGTCCTTAGCGACAACAACAGAATCTCACCTCCATAGACAACACTGCTTGAAAACAGGAGATAAAACACCTAGGACACGATAATCCAGCATTACAGTGAGTATTATTTTTTCAGTGGCTGTGGGGAATAGAAGCACAACCTTTATGATCTCTGAGAGCTCGTACAGCTGCCTTTAATCATTTCTTACAGACATGCATAATTCATAACAG